CTTGGAAACTTCAGGTCACGTTTCAGCTGAGGGAGGCGGCAAGTAGTTGGAGCAGGTGAGTTTGAAGTCTGTGAGAACCAGAAAGACACAAAAGGGAAGGGAAGATGTAGGGGAGGAGGGGTAAACACAAAGAGAAAGAAGACAATCCAAATTGTAGGCTAAGAAAGCATTAGATTTGTGAGTTAAAATGATGTCTAGAGTTAAGGTGATGCTTAAAGACTGTCCACGCAGGTGCCAGCAGTGCTGGGCAAGGTGGGGGACACCTGGGGACCCCCTTTCCCAGGGTGGTCTGCAGGGATGCTGGGCAGCCCCTGAGCCGCCAGTACTCTGCTCTCACAGGTGGGGGACAAGGTAAATTCGAGCCCTTTTATTTCCCAGCCAAAGCATCGTTGGTCCTCACCCCCTTCCTCCCCTTGGGGGCCTCAATTCTGCCCTAGTTAGACCTCGAAGTAATTCCCATTAACATTTATGAGAATTTCATGATCAAAAGAGGAATCAGCCCTTTCATCTGCCAGACGTGCCTGAACACACATCGCCTGGCCCCAAAACTGCGTACCGTCAGGCGGGAGCCCCCACCTTGTGCCAGGGTCCCTTGGGATGCACACCCCAAAACCAGCGGGGAGTTTGCGGGGTCGGGCTCTCCCTCCCCAACCCAGTTGCCTGGCATCGGTTCAGCACATCTTCCTTTCCCTTCCCACTAAGACTAACTAATTAGCAAATTACCACCCTCTCCGCACTATTTTTCAAGGGGAAGGTAATGCTGATAGCTCATTTCCAGATAAGAAATACGGAATAAATTTCAAGGCCTTGCCCGGAGCCATGGGACGAGCCAGCGGCTGAGCCGGGCTCAGAAACCCGGACTCGGGAGTCCCAGCCCTAACGCAGCCGGCTGGGTTGTAAGGCGGCTCCCAAACAGCCCACATCAAAGCGTGCTGCAGGGTTGTGAAAGCATTGCAGTATTGCACGCGGTGCAATTCCTGCTTAATGAAAATCTGCTCATCCCCTTCCCGCCGTGAGCGGGCCCTTGCCAAAGGTGTGTGTCTGTTGCTACAGATGTGATTACGGGCCAGCAAAGCCCACCGAGAAGGGCGTTTGCCTGGGTAAATAGGGACACGCCGTGTCTTTGCTGGTAGCTGAGCATCTGGAGAAGCACCAGCTGGGATATCTTTTCCCAAAGCTGCGATCGAGGTGTAGGCAGGAGTCTGGCAGGAAAGCAGGCAGCTCCTGGGGAAGGAGGGAAAGCTGACAATGGGCTTAGCTCATGTCTGCCACTGAGACCAGAACAAGTTTTTGTTCTCCGTTTTCTGGGAAAAAGAAAGAAGCCTTCACAGCGTGAGGTCACCCCACCGATCCGGTTTCACTCCCAAATGGTTTCCAAGGCTTTGCCTATGCACATGGGGAGCGGTTGGGAACAGCTTCCCGGGGCAGGCACTGGGGTGATTCATCCTTTTCCTCCTCTGCCACAGGGCTGGCAAGCGCTGGCAAAACAAAACGACGTCAGCACCTATTTCCCGTGTTTATCATCAGCAAATAATAACCTGAGATACCCGTCAAAGAAAAGCCGAGCCAGCTTTCGAAGCAGCGATCGCTCCCATGGCTTCCCGCTGGCTTCCAGGATTTCGAATGTGCTGTGTGTTTTCTGGGTGCTAGGAGGGATGTATAAACCCCCTTATTTTCTCTCTTTCAGTTTGAAAGGCTGGTCCTGGGTGGGTTACGGCTCCTCGCTGGCCGTGGCTCTCCTGCCCAGGGTTCAACACAAACAGGCAGCTGGAGCGGGCAGAGCTGAGCTGCCCTGGCTGCTGCTGCAGCATCGGGGGCACTCCTGGGTGCCCTGCACAGCTGGGGTGCCATGGGGCACCAGCACCCTGCCTGGCAAGCAGCAGGCAACCCTGAGGGGCAGTGTACCCCCGGGGACTGTCCCCCCAGGTCTCCGTGCTGTGCCCACCCCGGTTTCGCTGCTCCCTGGCATCCCTGCCCGTGGTCTGTACCGATCTGAGCCGCGGTGCTTTGCCAGCGGAGCCCCGCGGCTGCGCGGGACGTTGTACCTGGGTGAAGGACGGGTCACCGAACCCGGCACCGCTCGGGAAGGGAGCCTGGAGAGAGTGCTTTGGGGAGACATGTGCCCTCAGAGAGGGGAGAAGGAGGCCTGTTGTTGTCTGCAGGGTCCCCTGAAGGCGATGTGCTGGGGTGGCCGCAGAAAATCGCGAGCAACCAGAGGCAGAAACAGGTTCATCATGTGCCGCGGCGTGACTGTGGGTGACTGGAGCTGCACATCCTTCAGTGGGGAGTCAGGGCCGACCTGTGCCAGGTCACCTCCTCGGGAGCTGCTGCTCCTTCCTCCTCGCCTGCCTGGCACTCGTCTTGAGTCACTGCCAGTCGCTGGCACCAGCCCCAGCATCGTCCCGTGGCTTTCGGCAACTGGCTCTGGTCACCTCAGGGTGTCACAGGCGCCTGTCGCAGGGATAGGTGCCTCCACCGCATCTTCCTGAAGGTTTCCAGCCTCCTTCACTCCTTTCCGCGGAGCCCCGTCCCTGCCGTGCCCTGCAGAGCCATCACCCGGGCTCAGCCGTCACCATCCCACCGGTGAGCATCATCTCCGGCTCTGCCTGGAGCACCGGAGCATCCCGTTGACTCACCCACATTAATTTGCCCGGCAATCTCGGAGTGATTGCCACGGATGTGCCTGGGGACAGAGCCAGGAATCCCACGCGGGGGACACAGCCGCCAAGGGCTACAGCCCTGGCACATCAAGGGCTGGCGAATAATTGTCGTGCAGGGATCCTGCCCGTTTTGCTCGGCTCTGGGGAGCGGCATCAGGCTTGTTTAAATGATGGGGAACCCCCAGGCTCTCCCAGCAAATGGAGGGCAGGGGCCAGAAGGCAAACTGGGGCTCGCAAGGCCTTGTAGCTGGGGGTATTTAAGCAGCAGGAAGGTCTCCCCAGGGTCCCAGCTCTGCAGCTCATCGCCTGAATTGAAGGCTGCTCCTGGAGTTGGCCTGGCTGATGCTTGTCCGACTGACAACCCACCGCTCCAGCCCTATCCCACATTAATTACAGAACGGAGCAGAAGCGATACAAGACCTCCCAGAGCCCTGACTCCCAGTCCTGCATCCCCTGGAAGACGCCTTTTTACCTTCATGCGAAGAAAGGAAAGAAAGAAGGGAAAAAGAGCTGGGGTCCAAGCTGAGAATAGGTGGTGGAGAGCTTTTCCTCCGCCCCATCCTTTTGCGGCAGAGATTGCACTGCTCAGCTGATGTTGTTCTGTTCCCCCAGCGTGGGCTTTGCCTTCCTTCCCCTCGACTGCAGGAGAGGAACAGCTTTGGAGGAGCTGCCTGTCCCCGCACCCCTGAGCCACCATCGGCTGGGGGACGGGGACAACCTGCCAACACCATGGCCTTGCCTGGGTGGCCAAAGATGCTGTGCATCCATCACGACATGGCTGGAAGCGAGTCCTTGAGCATATTCCTGCACCCCAGGGAGCGCTCGGCCGGTTATTTCAGGGGCAGAGCACACACGGGACCCCGAGAAGATGTGTCCCCCCCACTCCGCTGTGACACCCACAGCGCAGGGGGCCACGGCCGGGGCCGGCGGGTGCCACCCCCACGTGTGTTCCCCGGCACGTTTGTGTTCCCCTGCTCCTGCGGGAGCGACTGACGCCCTTGGCACGCGCCCGGCCCCTGGCACCATCCCCGCCATCACGCCCCGGTGCATCAGCAGCAGCGTGACGCTCACACGACCGCAGGGCTGGCACGCCGGGGCACCGGCGGCGGAGAAGGGGCCCATGGGCTCTGCTTCCCTCGGGCTTTTATGTACCGATTTCCCACCCCTGGCCTGGCTGGGCTTGGAGGAGACGCCGAGTCGGGGCGCTGGCACCGCTCCCCACCAGGTCACCCAACAAGCTCCGAACATGCCCAGGCAGCTGGGTGGTAAAAATACTCCCTGGCCCGCTGTTTCGGCTGGATTAGCATCGCCTCCAACAAACCGCCTTAGCCAGGCACCGCAGGCAAAAGGCCAGCTGGGATAAAACCCCAAACCAAAGGAGTTTCAGGGTACGGGGCAGCTGGGATGGGGTACCACCGACACCGGGGAGCACACAAAGACCCCAGGAGTGAGGAGGAAGGATGCACCGCGGCTGGCACTGCCTCCTGGCTGTGGGGCAGTCCCCCTCACACACCCCCAAAACCTCAGAAAACATTATTTTTTTCATGCCTTCCACCCCAAACCTTCACTGCTCTTTCGAGTGAGTGGGTAAAACCCGCTGGGGGAGTTGACCGGGGTGATGGCAGCTCGCCTGCCACCCTCCTCCCCTGCACACCCGGCTAATGGTGCGCGGAAATTAATTCAGACGGGTGGGACGGAGCGCCGCAGCTGGGAAGGAGACGGGCCCCCGAGGTGCCATGCGTGGCGCCGAGGGGACGTGGGCGCTGCCATCCCGGGGCGCTGGGAGGGCACGGCAGGCTCCGGCCGGGCCAGTCCAGCTTGTTGCTGCTCCTGCTCGCGGGGAGGGTGTCAGAGCCACGGGACAGGGTCCGGGGCAGGGACCGCAACCCTGTCTCCCCACTGCGCCAGGTCCCCATCACCCCACTGTGCTGGCTCTGGGAGGAAGGGGCTGAGAGTCCCCAGCGGTGGTGGCAGCCCCAGGGGTTTGACAGAATTATTTTTTGGCAAAGGGCTGGTCTGCATGGCCTGCCCTGGGTGCACCCCCCCAAGCCCCCGGGCCCGTGGGAGCGGAGCAGCATTTCCAACACAAGGTTCCATCTGTGTGTTGAGTTTTGGCCGTTCTCTGCACACACACGCCCCCACCCCCCACCCCTGCCCTCCATGCCCCCCCCCTCCCAGCCCCCCAACATCTGTGGTCACCCAGTCAGCCCTCCCCGCTGGCGTGCCGGGGAGGGGGGACACGGGAGCCCCAGGCCCTGCCCCGGGGAGTGAATCAGCAGCGCCCGGGGCTGGTGCCGGGCTCGCCGTGCGCAGGCTGCGAGGGGCGGAGGTTTTTGCACTCGCTCTCGCCCGGCCAAGGATAAATAGGAGGCGGCTGCGAGTCCTGCCAAAGCTGCTCTTCTCATCGCCCAGCACATCCCACAGCCGGCACCCAGCCCAGGCAGACATGGACTCCCAGGACTGCCCTTGCGCCACTGGTAAGGCAGCGCTTCCTCCAGAGGGGGGGACCCTCAGCCTTCCCCCTCCTCCATCCCCACTGCGCTCCCATCCCGGCCACCACAGCTGCTGGAATCCTCTCCCAGCTTCGCTGCGGCCCGCCCGGAGCATCCCACTGGGAATGCCGTGACCTCCCCACCCAGCGAGGCCGAAGCACCAGCCCCGGCCGGGGCTGCTGGAAAGCGGGTGCTCGGCGGGGCGGCAATGCCCCCCCCGCGCAGCATCCCCGGGGATGCGGGGATCTCCTCCCACCACCTCCTCTCCAACCTTTTTTCTCCTTTTCTCTGGGTTTTAGGTGGCACCTGCACTTGCGGGGACAACTGCAAATGTAAAAACTGCAAATGCACATCGTGCAAAAAAGGTAAGAGGGGGGTCCCTGAACCCCACGGGAGGGGGCAGAAACACTTGTGGGGGGTTTTACTACACATCCCTGGACACACTGGATCAAAGCAGGCTCAGGGTGTCAGAGCTGTGTTTATTCCTCACGTATTTTTTTTGCTCCTGAAGGAGCACAGGGTGAATTTCACGCCCCCAGCCCCCCCTGCCAGGCAATACAAGCCACCCCATGTAACCCAAAACTCAGTGTTGCCCTCGCTGGCACCTCAGGCTCGGCACAAGGGGATGACCCAGGAGGAAACCGGCACCGGGATTTCTTCCAGCTGCTCCTGATGCCGTTAGCCCCAAGCAGAGGGAGGGTTTGCAGAGAGAGGGGCTGGGGGGGCCCTGGGGGTCCTGCACCCTCCCCAGTGCCAACCCTGGGTGCAAAAACACCCTGAGAGACACTGCTGGGGATGGGGATGCTGCCAAAACGGGAGGACACAGGAATCAGTGGGAGGTCTCCGAATCAGTCACCCTCCATGGGACCCCCCCCAAACCCCACCCTGAGATGCCCCCGGGAGCACCCCTGACTTACTTTTCTCCCCTCCGCAGGCTGCTGCTCCTGCTGCCCGGCGGGATGTGCCAAGTGTGCACAGGGCTGCGTCTGCAAGGGCCCCCCCTCCGCCAAGTGCAGCTGCTGCAAATAGGGACCCCCGGCTGCACATCTGGGGGGCCAGAGAAGAATAACCTTATTGTGTATGTTGGTTGTTTTGTTGATTTTTTTTTTTGGTTTTTTTTTTTTTTTTTATATATATATATGTGTTCAGATACCTTTAGTGTTTCTCACTCATGACGTGTAATAAGCTATCTAAATAAAGTGATGTGTATATAAAGGTCTATAAGGCACCTGGCACTTCTGTTTGATGGAGCGGTTTCCCTGGGGAGCGGGAGGGCAACGCATTTGGGGGGTCATGGCAAAGAGTCTGCGTCTTATTTTTGCTCCTTGCTTTCAGTCTTGGCTCTGCCCTCCCTACCAGCAGCTCAGCCTCTTGTTTTAACACTTTCCCTGCACAAGGTAATTTATAAGGAGGTTTTTTTTCCCTGCCCTGTTGTTACCCAAGGGCAAATCCCATGCTGTCTCCTCCACCAGAAGTCCTCGGGGCTAATGAGCAGCTCGTTATTACAAGCCTTCACCGGCAACATAATAACGGCTACAGCCCTGCCCATTTCCAGGGGTAACATTTCCACAGCAGGTGGGGTGGTGGTGGAACAGGTTTAATTTTCCTCCTGGCAGTTTAGTTGAGCGGGCTGGAAGAACCACCCTGCTTGTCCCCCCTCCACCTCTGCCAGCCTGGCAGGGCGCTTCTGCGGGGAGCCCCGGGTGACCTGGGTGCCCAACGGGGTGTTGTGGTGCCCCCAGCAAGGCGCAGTGCCCACAGTGGGGTGGGCACGATGGGGAGCAGCGCCTGCAACAGGGCGCAGTGGGTTGCGATGCCCAGAACAGGATGGGATGCCCACGATGGGATGGGATGCCCGTGCCGGGGCACAATGCCTGCGATGGGATGGGATGCCCACGATGGGATGGGATGCCCGTGCCGGGGTGCGATGCTCGCCCTGCTCAAGTGCAGCCAGGACGCTGCAACCCAGCTGCCACGTGGCACCGTGCTGCTCCCCAGGACACACGAGGGATCCTGCCTGTCCCTGTGCTCCCCAAAAGCAGCCTTTCATGGGCTCTAGCTGCAGAACCTTTCCTGACCCATCCAGCAAGTGCTGCCAGGACTCAGCCAGGGTTTTGTCACAGCCAAGGTCACCCCTACCCACCAGCTGCTCGTGGTACCAAACCCCAGGCGATACTCTTTTGCTCCAGGAGGGCTCTTCCCCCAAAGCATCCCCTAAGATGTCACCATCACCCCACACTTCTGACGGGTGTGAAGCACATCCCTACGCCCGCTGAATGTGGGGCAGGGCAGGCATGCTGCAGGCAGGGTGCAGCATCAGCTCTGGAGCTTCAAACTCAACTCCGTTCTGCAGAGCGCAGGGTTCATCTTTATTCCTTCCTGCCCAGAGAGGTTTACGTGCCAACCATGCAAAACCACGGTTGGTGAGCCCACAACAAGTGTGAAGGAGAGGTTGCTAATGGGATTTATCCCCAAACATGTGGTTTAACCAGCGGGGCTGACAGCATCCTTCCAGCCTCGCTGTCCCCAGGGGGTTTGCATTGGTCCTGCCCCACAGCTCTGCCCTGTGCCCATCCCCGTGCCCCACAGCAAAGCGATAAAGAGCAGCTATGGGATGCTGTCCCCTGCCTGTGTGAGGGAGGTGGGAGGGGACTCCGAGCCCTGAGACCTGTGCTGGGCAGCTGCGGTTCCTCTGTTCCGCTTCATGGCTGCTATAAAATCAGAGTTGGATCTGGCACGCCTCTTACATGAGCACAGACTCGGGATTAACTACTCCCTGCTGGCCCCGGGAAATGGGGACACAAGCAGTGACACGGAAAACCCCCCAAGCCCCCCCTCCCTGCTGATGTCTGGCACGTGCCCTGCACCCCGGCATTTCGGCAAGCCCACGGCTTGGGGGAGACATGGCTCATCCCGCCCTGTCCTGCTGCGGGATCACTTCATTATTCAGTGGAAATGCCCAGATTGGGAAACACGGTGTTTTCCAGGCATTTTCCTGTCCCTGCTCCACACAGGGTCCTGTGGGGATGCTGCGCTGCCCGTTCCCACTTGCAGGGACGGGGGGGGGGGCCCAGGCCCACGTGCCCCGGGATCCAGCACAGCCTCTCCGTGGGTGACGTGTGGAATTCCCAGAAATCTGGAAATTCTCCTGCCTCCCCCACAGCCTCGGCCCTGAACACTCACCCCCTGCTTTTGGTACAGGCACACGGAGTCAGGGTGCACATCTCCATTTTGGGTGGCGGGGGGGGGGGGGGAGGGCTCTCCTCTCTTCAGTCGGGTGCAGCAGAGCCCATCCCCACCGGAGGGGTGGCGGGGGGGGGGCAGTGCCAGCCTGCAGCACCGTGCTGGGGGGTGGCCGGGAAGCGATTTCACAATTTGTGTTTATGTACGGTAAGACCACACGTGCACCGCGATTTGATTTCACCTCTCCGCCTTTCCCGCTCAGCCAGTGGCAAGCGCAATGCCTGCTGGCTTAGCCTCATATTTACACTCCCTCGCTGCTGCCTGCAAAACACTGCCAGGAAAAAAAAAAAAAAAACAAACCTAAAAAACAAAAAAACAACAAACTCTGTGTTTTTGCAAACAAGCACACACCGTTCCCTGGCACAACCTCCCAGGGCCACCGACCCCGTCCTGGTCCCAGGGCCCACTTGCCGGGGCTCCACAGGCACAGACCCCACCTGGGGTGCCAGCTCCGAGCCCAGGCTTGCCCCGTTTGCACCAGTAAGAGCACTGGGTGCAGGCGCGGGGACAGCCTGTCCCTGGCCCAGCTGCTGTTTTCCCTCCCGGCTGCCAGCGGAGCGGGGGAATCTGGTCCGCACGTAAAACACGGTGACAGGAGGGGAAAACCCACGGGTGCCGCGGGCGCTGGGGAGCCGCGATTCCCTGCAACCCTCGGCCGTCCATGCCACACTCCTGCGCTGCATCCCACCCCTCCCGGGGGGCCAGGCGAGCACCCCAGCCCCACAGGACTCTCTGGTAGGGTGCTGAGATTGTCCCATCCCCGGGGACAGCCCCATGAAACCCGTGGCCTCCCCGAGGGTGGGGGGCACAGCCGCACCCCAGCACTGGGCACACCGGGCTGGGAAGGGTGAGGGGGCGTCACGGGGCTGTCCCAAAAGTTGGTGGCAGTGCCATGCCAGTGCTGTCACACACACCCCACCCCACCCCCCCCCCCGCTATCTTACAGAATTCTTGGTCCCCCAGGATGCAGCACCCTGTCGGGGGTGGGGGCGGCAAAAAGGGGTGCGGGTGGGACCCCCTGCCGCCCCCAAAGCGGGCGGGGAGGGCTGTCAGGGCCGTGACCCGGGGTGAGTACAGCACCGGCCCGGGGTGAGCACGGCCCCACGGCACGGCCCCCCGTGGGCACGGCCCCCCCCGCCCCGGCACCGCCCCGGGGTGAGCACGGCCCCACGGCACGGCCCCCCGTGCGCACGGCCCCCCCCCCCCCCGGCACCGCCTCGGGGTGAGCACGGCCCCACGGCACGGCCCCCCGTGCGCACGGCCCCCCCCCCCCCCGGCACCGCCTCGGGGTGAGCACGGCCCCACGGCACGGCCCCCCGTGGGCACGGCCCCCCCCCCCCCCGGCACCGCCCCGGGGTGAGCACGGCCCCACGGCCCGGCCCCCGCTGAACACGGCCCCCCGTGAACACGGCCCCACGGCACGGCCCCCGCTGAACACGGCCCCGGGGAACACGGTCCCGCCCCGCCGTGCGCAGCGCCGAGCACCGCCCCGCGCCTCCACCCCATAAATACCGGGCGGCCGGTGCCGCTCCGCATCGCTGCGAGCCCACGCGTGTCGTGTCGTGCCGTGCCGAACCAAGCCAAGCCAAGCCAAGCCATGGATCCCCAGGACTGCACTTGTGCCGCCGGTAAGTGACCCGGGGGGGGGGTTCCCGTCCCGGGGGGGGGGGGGGGTCCCGTCCCGTCCCGGGTGGGGGGGGGTCCCGTCCCGTCCCGGGTGGGGGGGGGTCCCGTCCCGTCCCGGGTGGGGGGGGGGTCCCGTCCCGTCCCGGGGGGGGGGGGGGTCCCGTCCCGTCCCGGGGGGGGGGGGGGGTCCCGTCCCGTCCCGGGGGGGGGGGGGGGTCCCGTCCCGTCCCGGGGTGGGGTCCCGTCCCGTCCCGGCTGACGGCCGCTCTCTCCCCCCCCAGGTGACTCCTGCTCCTGCGCTGGGTCCTGCAAATGCAAGAACTGCCGCTGCCGGAGCTGCCGCAAGAGTGAGTGGGGGGGCTTGGGCCGGGGGGGGTTGTCCGTGACCAGTTGGACCCTCGTGGGCCCCATAGGGGAACCCCTCCTTCCCCTGCTGGACCCCCATGGGGACCTCCCGACCCTTACCCAATTTCCCGACCCTTTCCTTGCCCTGTACCCCCTACAGAGACCCTCCCCCATGGGGGTGCCCCTCGCCTCACTGGGATCTTTCCCTCTATACATAGAGACACCTCCCCACTCCCTTTTGGGGGGGGGTGCCCCTACTCTAGAGAGACCCCAACCACCGCCCCCCTGGGATCACAACCCTGCCCATAGTGGTGGGGTTTTTTGGCGGGAGGGGTGTGTTTCTCACTCTCTATAGGGTATCCCTGCCCCGTGGGACCCCCATCTCTTCCCACCCCCTAACTCTTGTGTCCCTCCCCCCAGGCTGCTGCTCCTGCTGCCCCGTGGGCTGTAGCAACTGTGCCAAGGGCTGCGTGTGCAAGGAGCCGGCCAGCAGCAAGTGCAGCTGCTGCCACTGAGCCGCTCGCCTCCGCCTGTAAATAGCCAGCACGCTTCGGGGATGGGGGGTGGGGGGCACAAAAAAAAAAAAAAGAAAAAAGCCTATTTTTACATGTTTTGTATTTTCTGTACCAGTGGTGAAGCTGGATGGAAATAAAGGAGTTTGGCTGGAGGTGTGAGTGCTGCTGTCGGGGTGGGCTGGAGGCTGAGCCCTGGCGCTGCTTGTGACTCCTGTCACCTTGGGGGGGGGGGGGGGAGGGCTGCTCGCAAACACCCCCATGGCATTCTCCGAGTGGGCTCGGGGGAGTAAAGCAGCTTCCCAGGGTGGGGGACTGACCTCATCCTGCATGTGAGGAGGCTCTGGGTATCTTTAAGGTGCTGCTCCCTTTCCCCTCTCCCCGCCCCCTGCCCCAAGGATGGGGTGATGTGCCTAGGGGTGTGAGGCAGGGGGGGTTCCAGCCCCCTCCTGCCCCTCTCTGGCTTCATGGCAGGTGCCTCTGCACCACCCTG